CGATACAGCTATGTTTCCGGGGAGGTGAGTCTAGCAATCTGGATGGCTTTATTTTTTCTTTGTAAGAAAACAATCGACAATTTGAAAATGGAAAGAGAATGGAAAATAACGATACTGATAATATTAACTACAAGTAAGTTTAAAACAAAATGATGTCCCCACAAATAAATGATAATAAAGTCTGACGAAAGATGTGATACAATTCTGAGCGATATTTTGAATCATCTTAACAAACTGAGGAATGTTTTGCGTGAAACCTGACTAAACATTGAGAGCTTAAAAGCGGTGTTTTTTTTTTTAATAAATTAAAGAACCATTTTATAGATATAATTTAATATACAAATAAATCTAGGGAAGGGTTTTGTTAATTTGTTTGTCTGTTTGTTTGTTCGTTTTACTTTTGTTTTAATTTTTTCGGTAATGAAGGGGAGGTTTCTAAATTGATAACCCTGTTATATATGATCAATGTTTGGGAGGGTGTTTTGAAACATCTCCAACCTAAATTCATTCCTTGGTATGGCATTGCGCATCCTTACTGCACAAGATTCCATGCACACTTAGTGCGTCTTGTACTAAGTGGTCGTGGCCTGCCAGAGAGATTGATCATCACTTTAATACATAATTGTAATTTTTGCTTTGTCTGGTGGTGAATTTGAGCAATAGCTGCCTTGTTTGTAAAACGAAACGACGAAGTTTTTGGCTACGGTTATATTTTCCTTTGAGGTCAAATTCTTTTGTTTCGACATATTTTACTGTGAAAAGGGGACTAACCGTAATCCCATAGAGGTAGTCGTACTGGATGATATTTTCCTCCGGATGTTATGAATATCGACTTATGATAATCGGTTGATGTAATGTTTGCATGAATATAAGAATGGATATTAAGACAGTAATTTGAATTGAGCGGATTGTTTTGACTCGGCTTTACTTCGTTCTGTGATTGGTTCAGAAAACTCGCGTCATACTCTCAACCAATCAGATGCAAAATTAAAACCATCGCGGCTGCGCACCGGGCTCTTCCCGCGCTCGAGCAGTTTGCTTCTTTAAACTCTGAATTTTCATTGGCTTATGAGGATGTTGACCTCTTTGTTGATTGGTTGTTGCAATAACGTTGATTTTGGCCTTCAGACGCTCAGCGGAAACCTGATCCAACACGCCTCTCGATTAGCCTTTTAAACGTTGACCCCATTTTGTTGTTGTGTTTGTTGATGACAGGATGCTGAACGCCCAGCGAGTCCAACAGACTCTGAAGGAAGACATAGCAAGAATGTTTCGTTTGATGAGGATGTCACTGTTATTGAAGGTGACCAAGATGGAGAGAGAGGCGAGGAAGGTGAAGAGGTATGGCAGCGAAACGACTAGCTTGTCGTGTGTTAAGCCAAGTGCATGAGCCTTCACAAATTTCCTTTAATGTCCTAAATCGATTCTCGAGGGCAGCTCGTTATCCAGGACGACCTTGATAACCCTGATAATGCATTGTACGATGTTCATTTTTTTAGACTCCAGACGAAGTACCAGACGACGAAGAAACGCCAAACAAGCAGGGTCCAAGTACAAGTATTGCTGAGCAGGATGACGAGGAGGCTGAAGACGTCCCTGAGTCCCTGGATCACGGACGGGAGAACGGAGTCACTAACCCAGCTGAGCAGGAGCATCAAGAGGATGACCAACCTGACAGGAATGATACTGTGAAGTCTCCAGAGCTTAGTGACAGCAGCAGCAGCAGCAGTAGTAGTAGCAGTAGCAGTAGTGAAAGCAGCGACAGCGAGGATGAAGGAAAACAAGGTATAATGGTTAGAAAAGAGTGATATCGTACTCTGTTTTACCAATAACCAATAAGACATCACCAACATGATTGACAAGCTAATTGTAATCTAATAGCTTGTCGGTAGTCGTTTGTCTACAAGTACTGTAATCAAATGTAATCAAAGATCCTGGAAGTGTGCAGTGCTTTGCACCTACGTAGGGAGCCAAGTCCAACACCATTTGGAGATGTAAAGTAATGGAAAGGTTGCTAAAATTAAAATGTCAGTCGACCAAGTAAATAAGGTAAAAAAGCAAGGAAATTTGAGTAATATGTATGCAAATGTTTATCTCACTCTAAGTTAACGCCGTAAACATTTAGTAATAAAAATGTTCCAGCATGCTGCATTACCGTCAAAGGCAGGTGGCCAAATTGGCGACTTTCTTAGCATATTTGGTCGCCAAATTTCACTTGTTTTTTCTACTCACAAAACAGTCGCATCTTAGAGCACTGCCAGCATGTTGTTGTTGTTGTTGTTGTTTTTTTTTTCCTTTCAATTTTTCACCGTTAACTCTCTGTTTCTTGTTTCTTGTTTATCGCCAGAGCGAGATTCCAAAAAGAATGGGAAACTAAAGTCAGAACCTGGTCAAGATCCCGGAAGTGATCCAGACTTAGTCTCATCCGGTCAGTTACCGGATCAGGCTTTGAAGGCAGTGGGCGTGCAGCCTGGTGCCAAGCACCAGGGTTCAGTCCGTTCTTTGCTGGAAGGGAAAGAGGATGTTGACATCGCTGGCGTTGAACTTGCCAAAGAACAGGTACAATTAAGCACGATTGAAGGACTTTGAGTGTTTTGGCATTCAAAACAATAACTTCATTTTACTCATTTTGATTCAATTTTGACCCTTTAATTCCCAGAAGTAATTAACTTGTGACTTCTCCCCAAAATATCTAAACATTATCCAGCAAACAGGTAACGAGAAACTCAAACTTATCAGATGGAAGTTGTTATATTTATCGTACACCAGATACTTATAACGATTAACAAGGAAATGAGTGACAGGTAGAGAGGAGAATTAACGACCAAATCTTAGGAGTTTAAGGGTTAATGACCATTTCGAACTAAGCCCTCTGAAAAAAACAGAACCTAACCGTATAGGCCGGTTATTTAGGCTAGATCCTACCTAAACCACAGTTTTACACAAGCAATGGGCCTCTGGTGTTGTCTTTGAGGGATCGATTTGATGTCATAAGTGTCCTTCCCCTGTTAACTGTCGGCCTTCTTGACACAGCTCACAAAAATAAAATTTAAGATAAAAGGTTCGGCTAAGTTGAAGATAGTTTAGAACGCGGTTTTGTCAAACAACGGTTAAACTTTGTTAGATAACCGGTCCTAGAACTTCAAGGTTATGAATTTTTTCCAGGGTATTTATTATTTGTTTAAAACAGGTAATCCCTTTATTTTTGGATCAATTATTTTTTTCCTACATCACAGGTTGAAGAGCTCGCAAGTATCATCGACTCACGAGAGGAGCTTGGATCAATTATTCTCAGAAATGCTGCGTTAGATGACAATATGCTAGAAATACTGACTCCTTCTCTGAAGAATAGGCTCGATTTAAAGGTGCGTTCGTCAATTTATCACCCACAGCAGTGAGTAAATGTTTTAGATAGAATGATATTAACTGGTGTGCTTGTTTGTTTGATTGTTTTTAGATGCTGAACCTAAGTGTGAATACTTTCGGACCAGAAGGTGCGAAACACTTGGCTGAAGTTATCAGAGAGAACAATTCAATTAAGATGCTACTGTGAGTACCTACTGATTTTGAACTTATCCTGTCTATTTGTAAGATTCTTTGTGTCGTTTTGATCAAAGATGTTATGGTACCGTTGTATCAGCGTTTTGGTACAGTTGTATCAGCAAAGTAGCTCGCCTATTTTTTAAGATAGATCTCGAAGATATGTCAAATTCGAATCCCTCTCACTACAGCGAGAAAATCCGCTGATATCGGATTCATTGCTCTGTTTCAGGTTACATGGAAATAAGTTAAACGATGATGGAGTTGGGATACTAGTCGACGCTATTTTAGAAACCACAGGCACGGCAATAATGAACCTGGACATAGGAGACTGTGGCATCACGCAAGATGGCGCCGAACATATCGCCAAACTGATCGAGCATAACCAGACGGTCTCGATACTAACGATCAGCGGTAACAGCATTGACTTGGAGGGTTGGAAGAGTATTAGCAAGGCCTTGACCACAAACAGCACTTTGGAAACAATTTCTCTAGACTTCAATAATTTAGGTGACGAGGAAGCTGTTGTCTTGGCTGACGGTATACGAGGATGTAAAAGCCTCAGTTACATTGACATGGAGGGGAACAAAATTGGTGACGAAGGAGCGCTAAAGCTTTTTGAAGCAGCAAAAGCCAATAAGTCAGTTGTCGACCTTACGCTCCTGCCAATGAATCAGATATCAAAAGAAATATCTGATGAAGTGAAGCAGTTCCTGACGGAAAGAGAAAACGAACGAAAGAATAATGCACATCGGAAGGAAGATGGTAATGAACAACCTGTTGTGGCCGAAGGAGAAGATCAACATGAACGCAAAGAGAGTGCACAGGAACGTGAAGGAGAGAATGAACGAGAACGTGAAGGTGAGGGAGACAAACGAGAAGACGAGGAAGACGAAAAAGGAGGCGAAGGAGACAAAGATGAGGGCGTGGAAGAGAAAGACAAAACAGACGGTGAGGAGGAAAAACAAAAGGGCGAGGAGGAGCAAGCTGAGTTGGGTGAAATACACGCGGAACAAGGAGAAGGAGAGAACCACGACAAAGGAGAACAACAACCAGGTGGAGATAAACTTGAAGAAAGTGATCATCCTGCTCCTGAAGTTGAGGAGGCGGCAGGCGAAGGGAATCCTGAGGAACCAGAGTCTGCTGCACCTGAAGAGGAGGCTGACCAACCGTCGGGTGAACTGCCTGCTGGAGAACATGATATAACGAAGGAGAATGATAATGAGCAACAGAACGAGCCTGGAGAAAGTTCTGTAAAGGAAACGTCCCGGGAAGATCCCCCAGAACAGGAACCACCTGAGGGAGAGAAAGACGACCCTACCCCTCAAGATCCAAGAGAATCACTCGATCACAGTACGAATGACGAGGAGACGCCCAAGGAAGACTCGTCCACCGAGCGAAATGGCAAAGATCAGGAAGAATCGGGGAAAGATAACGAAGAAGATAAAAGACCAGCTGCAGATTCTATGTAGAGTTTTTACTCGTATGCATAGCAGAGGAAAATTCATCTGACTTCAACGTGCAACTCGTGTCCGTCCTGAGCCATTCGTGCTCCGCATTTATGTTGTCTTGTCTCTGCGATGTCTGTCGACCTTCGCACATTTTTATTTTAAAGGCTTCACCACCGCGTCCATCATTTTTCAGTAGTCAAACAAAACGACCCCAAAGAACGCGATTAAGCTCCATTTACTTACATTTTCATTTTTTTAGTATAAACAAATAAGCTTATAATGTAAGTTTAGGTGTAGATTGGGCCATTGTTTTTAGTTTTATTTACTTTGTTGAGAGTTTATTCCCTTCCCCCTCCCCTCACCCGTTCATATTGTTAATGATCATTAATGATTCACAATCAATTACCTTAAGACTGTCGTATGACGAAGCGTAGGACAGTGAAATAATTTAAGTGCGGCTCTTTCGTGCTTGGGTAGAAAAGTCTACAGTTAATTGGGCTGAAAAGAATCCCGTTGGTGTGATGATGATATTTTATAGACAATATCAATTTAAAATGTTAATGTTTTTTGGAAGATGTCACATAATATTTTTTTATAAGTGATTAGTGACAAAGGTTTAGGAGTGTCAAAGGATCAAAGTATAATCAGTGTCAGACTGTTATCTCAGTGGCTTTCCAGTCCGTATACGAAAAGGAAACAAACTAACAAATTGTACATAAAACATTTCAATTAACTTGATCCGACGCTTACACGAGAGTACATAACTGTTACGTCAATACTCACCGAGTGCACGCTTCATGTCAACAGCACATCGATAAACTCTCACTCGGACTCTGAGCTTAGAGAGAGTTTGTCACAATACTGGAGATTTTCGAATGCGATGGTTGTAAAAATTGAAAATTCTTAAATTGCGTTGTAAATATTGTTATTTAACAAGAAGTCAGACGAGCGCCTTAGCTCACAAATAAAGCAGTTTGTTTTTTTACAATAGTGTCTCACCAATTTACTTCATTTTGACAGTTGAAAGTGTCATAGAGTTCTTACTGCTTTTTTTTTTGTTTGTTTTTGTTGTTTTCCTTTGTTATTTTTTTTGAACGTCATTTAAATATTCTTTAAGGTAAAGGTTCAGTGCCACGCCCTCCAGATCGTTAGAACTGGTCGTTTTCAGAGACGAAAAATTCCATGGAAAGTTCAATGTTCATATTCATCGCAATACTTAATTACTAACCGCGGTAAAATAAGATATCAAACACTTTAACTCACAGCAAGGGAATAACTGTCTCATAACCAACGGACCCGAAAACTGTTTTATTCCTCGCACTAAGCCACCGCGCGTTGCCAACTAGCGGCAAGCAATTTCTTGCAGAAAAAAATTCCCGTTTCGCTTTCCTATGGGGAGTAGACCTTCTGGGTGCTTTTTCGCGAGCTGCATGGTTGTTATTTCTTCAATCCCGTTCCTCCCAACTTAAAAGCAATCCAGAAAAGCGTTGCTTTCTTTTTCTTGAGTGTCTCATGCTCACTGCAAAACGACAAACACTCCTGTCTATTCGATCAATGACAGTGCAATTTGAATCATTTCTCTCATTCTAGTTACCGCTTCTGTAATGTCAGGTTGGTACATGGTACCATCGAAAAAGTAAAATATTTACCAAGCCCAGGCTTCTCTGATTGTGGGTAAAGTCTAAAGAATTTTTTTCTTTTTAACCCTGCAACTCCCAAAGTGATTAACATAAAACTTTTCCCTACAATATCCATACATTCTTCAGCAAACAGGTAATGAGAATATTCAAATTTATTGGGTAGAAGCTGCTATCTTGATTTAGCACCAAGTAGTCATAACTAAGTTACAAGGAAATCTGTCGCAGCTACAGGGGAGAATTAACAATCAGATCTTGGGAGGTAAAGGGTTAATGAATGGTGATCATTTTGAGGAAAGTAAGTAGATACGTTTCAAATAAAGAACTTTAATGATGGAGCATTATTTTCTTAACAAAAGAGTACTGTACAGCAAGATAAGATGCAGAAACAAGAATGTAAAGTGTGAATGCAATGATGTTCATTTCCTGGTGTGCTGCTGAGCAGATGGAACTGCAACTCCACTAGAAATATCTTTTTTTGCGCAGATTGTCTTGTGAGGGTGTTAAAACCATGTCATCTGGCATCAAAAACCACCACTTTGAGAAGCAATTTGTTAAGGAGACAACTACATTGTAAACAATCACTTTTACTTTTCAACTCAATTTGCCACAAATATGTAGATTTTACCATACAGCTTCTTCCCCATAAGTACTGATCCTTCAAAACATTATTAAAGTATCTCAATTCTAATGAAGGTAGAATAAAGTTGACCCTTGTGACTAATACACAGATCAATTTGAAGCTTCAACCCTAGTCAGGTAAGGTTTGAATTCCCCCCTCCCCAGGCACAGACATGGGTCAAATGGGTGGAGGGGCAGGGGGGAGGGGAGGGTTGTGTAAAAGCTTAGAATTGATTGCCACACAAAATCATGAAAAGGTGAGGATATATGAGAAAATTATTATATCAGACTAGGAATTTATGCACAGGTTCATTCCAATGCCTCAACCCTGTAACTCCCAAAATTGTTTAACTTCTACATTTATATCATCCAGCAGCAGGTAATGAGAATACTGAGATGTATCAGGTAGGAGATGTTCTCTTGTTATTACACCAGTTACCCATAATTAATTCACATGGAAATGTGTAGCAGCTAGAGGGGAGAATTATCAATTAGATATTGAAAGTTAAAGGGGTTAACAGCTTGTCACTCAGACACAACCATTCATTTTTTTTTTTTTACATTTTGGAACCCTTGTCTCTCTGTCAACTGATTTTTTTGTTCACAGAATCCCCTTGGACACACAATAGTTCTTTATGCAAAGTAACATAGCACCTAGTTGGCAAAAGGATACTTCTCTTTGTCCTTTTCTTGTACATGATCCTGTATCCACATTCCCGACAACGAATTGGATCCCTTGATTTGATCTCATTTTCTGTGTGACATTCTGAATAATATGGCAAAACAAAAATTAGAAAAAGTAAGTTATCTAAACTCTCTACACCCTGATATCAGTATGCATATTCTCCATTCCCTTCTCTATACATTTCCTAAGTTGCAGACAAGGAGAATTTAATAAGTAATCAGGAGCTTCTTTAGTTGGTGATCATTTCCTATATTCTCATGACCTTAATTTGTGATTCAGAGGTGATGATGTGAGGAGAAATTACATGCTAGTCACTCTTCAGGGTCAAAGGGTGAAAGAAGGTTTTGTAGTCTCTTTGGGAAAACCAGTTAGTGAACTGGGACAGATCCACATGCACCTCAAATTCTACAACATGTCAAAATAGAAGCTGAATTATCCACACATTTTGATTTGTTCTCACCTATGACCTATTGGAGGACAGACATATTAATGCCTATCTAAATAAAAATATATATTCCATTTGCCATGTGTGTGTTTGGTTATGGATAACAGATGACATCATTTTTTCAAATGTTAGTCTTCAAATGAGACAAACTATCAAAATGGAAGCTAAATTTCATTTTTTTTTTTTTTTGAGGTACCCTGTGATATATTACAGAACAGTAGCACAGTAACATGGAATCTATTCATTAACTTGTTAACACTTTAACTCCTATGAGTGACGAAGACAGAATTTCTCCTCACAATATCAATACAAAATCAAGAAGGCAAATGATAAGAACCAAAATAAGTATCAATTAGATTATTACTTGATCCAATACCAAATTCTCAGAAGTAACACCAGAAGAAATGTATAGCAGACAATTGGGAGAATTCCTAATGACATCTAGGGAGTTTAGGGGTTAATCAGGATATAACAAAAGTATTTTTTTCTTCTCTTTGCTTTGGTCTGTGTATATGTGTTTCAGCCCTTCCTAGTCATAAACATGGGAAGGGAAGTCATTTGTGTCAACATAATATAATTTCCATAGTTTGCCTCATTTAAAGACTAACATAAATCAAATGAAAATAAACTTTGTCATTGTGGGAAGAATAAAACAGGTTTCCAAACCATTCACCTCTTAGAACTATGGTAACACAGACAGTCATTAGATTGACTCTAATAGATGGAGGAGTGATGTAATGTATTTCTGTCAAATACACGTACAGACAATAGTAATTCCCAAGCGTGCAACCATTGGATTCGATTTCACATAAATGCAAGAGTTAACAAGTCTTCAGTTTGAATTATCCAAAGGCCTTCTACTTTGAAAGAAAACACAATCCACGATGTTTCGATTACTCTCGCTGTCATGCGTAAACCGAACCCAGTCCTAGTAAATAGTTAGAGAAAGATGCTTTTCGTCTTGTTGCTTCGAGCGCAGAATCCGAAGGTTTGAAGTTCGATTCATGACCATATCAAGAGATCACTAATAACTGATCCTCCACATCAGCCTCTGGCTGCCTTTAATTTAACGTAACTACTACATCATTCCTCGTGGGGATTCGAAAGTTTTTCTTTGTCGCACGCTCGTGACAAGACGGAAAAACATCTTCCTTCATTGCTCAAAATTTACCATCTTTCTTACTCTATTTATTAAATAATTGTTGATCATTAGTCACTACTTCGTAATGTAATACCCATTAACCTTCCAAAATCCGAGAGGAAGTTATTTCATCAAAGTGATTTTCCTCTCTTGATTTCTTTAAATCATTTCTTGTTCAAGACAGATCAAGAGTCTGAACTACACTACGGGATAAAGGCACCTCGTGCTTTACAATGTTCCAGTAAGATAACCAACCTCCACAGATATAAATCATGGCTTGTTTGGCGGCTCCTTGACTCTGTGTTTGTTGATTTGCTTCCATGTCAGTGATCTCTTGATATGGTCATCAAAATCGAAATAAAAAAAAGCCCGAAAATGAACTGCACAACTTATCTTAGAGGAGAGCCAAAATGATTGTGCACGTCCTCGCAGCAATTTGAAACTTCATGTATGATAACATTTGTGCCCTTTGGTAACAAAATTGCTGACCTAAAGTACCGAAGGCTCCATTCACATTCCTCTTTCTTTAAAAAAGTAGCCAACAGTAAGAGTTTACAGAGTAATTATAGAGTCTAGTTGTTTAAAAGATGGATAACGCTATATTCAATGGTTAGATTGCTGCAAATCGAATAAGTGTTGTCAAAATGTATTGCAACATTCATTGCATGAATTAATTCTTACATCCTAATGCACACCAACATGCTGCGCTGTGTGGAGGAATTTTGGATAGACTGCTCTCAGAGTAGAATGTTACATTTTTTGAAAATGTTATTGCAAGGATAGCAGGCTCGCCATTGCTACAGCCAGTTATGTTATTTCATTCATTTTCAGACTGTTGGTCTAAGCTGATGCTTTAACCCTCGACCTCTCCCAGAGTAAGTAATTCAATTCCTTCCTCTACCAACTGGTCCGAATGTTAAAAGGCAGAGGAGTCGGGCTGAGAACACAGACTCAATTAAATCAAATTCAAAGTCTCAAATAAGTCACAAATCAGTTGATCAGATCAAGACAGGGTTTCATAAATTTCAAAAGTACAAGAGTCCAGAGAAGAGGGCTTGAGGGACAGGGCAGTAAATGAAGAAGATCCTCACCAAAGAGGCATGTTGTCTCAACAGAGGGGTAGTTGGAATCATTTTAACCCTTTAACTCTCAAAATCATTGGTAAATTTCTCATTACTGTTTTTCAGACGATTCTAATGATGTTAGTTCAAAGAAATTCTGTCCTGGTCACTCATGGGAGTTATTCAGGTATATCAAAATGCCTTTTAAAGGGTTAAAATGCATTGCGTGAAAATAAGTGAAGTCAGTAAGTTGGAAAATGCTGGTAGCTCTCACCTGACAGGAAGGAAACATGACTCTATATGAACAAAATATTAATATTTTTATTTACCATGAAATTTGCAATTATTAATGGCATATCACAACTGAATTTGTAGGAAAATATATTTACACCTATTAAATAATAAAGTTGCTAAATTGGATTATGTCCTGCTTTTAAGCCACTTTACTTAAATATGAGTGTATATTAAATTTACTAAGTAGGTGCAGGGGGATCATGTAAAAGATTAAACACATTTTGCCAAAAATAGAGATATTTTTATTTTGTACCACAGTGCAGCAAAAATGGTTGCCATAGGTACAAAACTTTATATCAAAGACAGGTTCAAAAAGGATAGGAAAAAAGCTGTACATTAGGGCTAGAAATTACTTTTGCTCCCATCTCAAAGAAAATGTTTCAACTCTTTAGTTTACATACAAAAATGTGATATTGGTTTGCCAATGTTAAAAAAGGCTGAGGAAAAGGAGGAAGGAGTGGATACCATACTAATTGGTAACCCTTAGCAGGGTATTTGTCTGCAAATTAATTTTTATCAGATTAATATGTATGTGTCAAAAAGTGGACATGAAATTCTTCCTAAAGTAAGCCAAGTTCTCAGGAACTATGTTATGTTTAGTTGTCAAGAACCGTAAAAGAGAGATTCAACAAAGGATATTTACTTTGGGAGCTCTACCATTCCTGACCCCTTATTATGACTAGATTCATAGTTATTAGAAAATGGGTCCAGCTGTTCAGGCATAGCCAAATTTCAAGCCCTCTCCATATCAAAGTGGTTTAATCCAATTTGTTCAGCTCATCTATTCAGCCCAGGCCTATAGGCTGAAGCAAAACAGTAACAGTTAACATTCTTCAGGGAATGTCATTCTCTAGCAATCCAGAAAGGCTATGCTTCTTTTTTTTTTTTTCTCTTGTTAGCCAGTATGGTGGTTATTTTCTTGGCTACAATGTAGTTATCACTGTGAATGTATCTCCATTTGTCTCAACAGGAGTAGTAACAGTTTCACGATGTGCAGTGTTGTTTTGTGATTCAGATGATGCTATGTGATCCATGTCTAGAGTGAGTTGCACTGAGTTTGGTAGTGAAGTCAAAGAAACTTCTGGTGATACAGATGAAAAACTTGAGGATCTTCTAACAATTTCTGAAGTATCTGCTACTGAAGATGTCACAGGTAGTGATGAAAAAGTTGAATTCTCCGCATGCAGCGTAAGAACTGAGGTACATGATACTAGATTTTCTGACGGTGTCTCTGAAAATTGTGGGTGTTCTCTACTGGAAAGTTGTGACACTCTTGTTGCTTCTGATACATTCGTATTTTCTGGTGTCAAGGTTCTAGCCGAAATATTTGTTGTTGACCCTTGACCTGATGCACTTCCTTCAGTTGGCAATGCTGTGTGTGAATTTAAGGAGGCACCCAATGAAGAGCCAGGAAGCTGACAAAGTTCTTGGTTTTCTGTTGGTGTGTATGCTGGAGGTGGTTCATTTGGCACAATCTGTAGCCTGGTGTCCTCACTGGCAGGTGTGTTGCCAGGGTTAACAATGCCCTCTGGGTAAAGTTCAGCATAATTCTTGACATTTAGAAGAAAAGAAAATATTAGTAATGATTGTCGACAGATTAAACAGAAATTAAAGAAGCAAAGTTACACTATCGACAACATAAGGAAAAATGCATCATCACATTTAAAGGCATGAACTTCAAATTGCTAGTATGTGGAATTAAATGAAAAATAAAATACCACAATTGACCTGAAAATGTGCAGTAGGGTCTATTAAATGATTTTCATCACACATCCTATGCTCAAATTCATGCAAGAGCATCAAGTAGCAAGCGCATATAAAATCTTCCTGACTCTGAGAGTTAAACCATTGAAAGTTAATACACAAGACAATTCAGATCACTCTCAACATCTTCATATTACTTCTCCACACCATCTGCCATACTTTTCTTACAATTTTTGCCCTGAGAATTAGGAGTTTAATCAAATTGCATTATCTAATTTATATTTTTTATTTGTCTGATCACGTTTCTTCTTAATAATGCACACACAATGAAGAGAAATTCCTTTTTGGTGAATCCTGAGAGTGTTAAAAGACAAGACTGCACATTGAATCATGTCAGTCTTTAATTTCTTGAATAAGTATCAAATTTCTCCTCAGCCCTTTGGCCATTAAGAGTAACTAGCATATAATTTCTCCTAATGATATCCACCCTGAATGATATCACACATTTAGGTCACGAAAACAAAGGAAATGACCACCAATTAAAAAGGCTCTTGATTATTACACAAATTCTTCTTATCAGGAAATTTAACAGGGACATTCTAGAGGATATGCATATTGATGTTGGGGTGTAATGGGTTAAGATGCAATAAAAAAAGTTGTTGGAAACCTTTTTGGTAAATGAAAGCTAACTCTACTTTAGTTTATTGTATGTTACATATTATAAAGAAATACAATTATTACTGATAATAATAACACTCTGAGAAGAATTGAGAAATAGTGTACAATGTACCTGATGGTCAAATCATAATTTGAACTCACCGGTAATTTGTATGGTGCAAAAAACTGAAAATCTGGATGCTGTAGGAAATGACCTTGAATAGGCTGTAGGGGTTGGGGTATAGCTCCTTGGAAGACAACCTCTGCCCAGTTCTGATGACTATACCCTAACTCTGCTATGGGTAAAGTAGCAATGTTCCGTTGGGAATAACGAGATAATGATGAATGACGGCTATTACTGCTTGCAAGTGTTACCTGCAACAAAAAGGAAAATTTTGGACAAGGCAAATATTGCCTCTACGTACTTCTTCACTAATTCCATTATTTGGCTGAGTATTATGACTCAAGCAACTGAATTTCACAAGCTAGAACTTCCTGCTTACTCAGACCTTAAGCTAAGTCATTTGCCAAGCATTCATGTCATAGCAGCAGTGTGAGCCCAAATACATTTTGCGGAAGTCTTAATCCTTTACCTTTATTGATTACTGCCACCCCTCTCCCCCCTCCCCCCTCATCCCTCCTGTACAAAATAACTTTAATTGGCTGATCAACTGAGTTGATAATGTAAATTGATCATCAATAAAGAGTTTCTGAAGCTGATGTTTCAAGTGTTAGCCCTTCTCCAGAGTGAATCAAGGTATTGACTAGGTTGTGTGTGGTTTCTATTAAGAATGCTATCATGATGCTATTGGTGGGAACAAGGGTACGTGAAAAACAAAATTATGAATAGCCTTGGACAACACTTATGTCCACAACTGACCAAGAAGCAAAAAAAAAAAACAACCACAACAACATGACAAGCCTTCTTTCTTTGCAATAAATGCATTTTGCCAGCCCCTTGTTGATTCATTATATTACAATTTTGCTGCATTATTCAATGTACATTATTGTATTTAACTGTTTAAAATCTGTCTGATGATTGCGTAAGCGTGAAACTCAGACTCACAGAAAAGTTATGTCTT